TGCACTGGGTGAACAGATGAACAAAATAGAAATTAGCTTAAAACACACCATTCCTTTTAACAACTCGGCCGAGGAAACTCAGGGTGCAGAGAGGCAAGAAGGTGCGAGCCTCGGCATCTCACCCCAGAGTTGGAAAGCAAGGACATCTGCACGGCCGTGCAGCGATTCATCGTCTTCCAACCAACAGCCCTACGACTCCTCTGAGCAAGCTAGAAGCTCCAAGAATTCTTAGTTTTCTGTAAAGAACACAATCTCCACATGTCATCCTCCCATGATCACGAAACAGTCCCTCAAAATGGCCAAACAAACACTGCTGCTAGGCGTCACGCAGTCAATTCTGACTCTCAGCGACCCTATGCGCAACAGATCGAACACGTTCTGGTCTTCGCCATCCTCCCAATGGCTCGTGGGTTTCAGCCACTTCCTTCATCCGTCTTGTTTACGGCCTTCCTTTCCCTTCCACCAAACACACTGTCCTTCTGTAGGGACTGGTCTCAGCTGACACGTCCAAAGTCCAAGAGACCAGAGATGAAGTCTCACCATCCTTGCCTTGAAGGACAATTTTAAGTGGAAGCCACCAGCTTGGCAGAGTGTCGTTTCCTAAGCATTCTACTTTGCATTTGCCTTCCACCTACAGAGAAAGAAGGGCAGTGTCCTGGTGGTCCACGGGTTAGCCCTGGACTGCTAACCACAAGACCGGCACTTTGCATGCACCGGCTGCTCTATGAGTCACAATCAACTCCAGGGTAGTGGGTTTGATTTTTGGTATGAAAATGGGAACACAAATTAGATCTCCTAGCTTCCCTTGCGGCTAAAGATGACCAAAAACAAAGTTCTAGCCACACAAAATGCCACTACGAGAGAAAGAACCCTTTGCTTCTCTCTTCTTGGAACACAGGTACAATGCCTACAAAGCAAGAATCGTATTGCAATACGATCGACCAGGATGGGGAAAGATACCTGAAAAATATGCCTCCCTCTTCTTGACTTCACTGGCCTAGAACAACCGGCCTTTGGAGCTAACACAAAAGGAAAGCCAACTGTTATGGACATTAGTAAGGTTTTTAATTATCGGCTCTTGGAAGCACTCCTGGCACATGGGGATACACAGGTAAATTCTAAATACTCACAAGAAGTTTTGCTTTATAATTTTCTGAAGAGGGTACTATAAAAACAATCGATAACAAAAACTAAAGGAAAGTGTTACAAAATGAAAACAGAAATAAGTAAGCTTTCAAGCATCTAAATGACTACACTTCTTCCTTCCGTGTGGGAGACAATCCAGATCTGTTCTAACAGAGCATTCTGCATCTACAGACCAACACCTGTGAATGGGATGCCAGAGCCTGTTTAACCCCACAGGTTCCCTTAAGCAATAGTCCCATAAAAATGATGCTAACCCACATAGGTTGTTAATATACAAAACAGCTGATCTTAAAAGCTCTCGGATCTACCTACACCTATTTTCTCATTTTAAAGAAATGTGACCCACTACGTTCTTCACTTTCCACTGATCTCTTCCTGTTGTTGGCTGCCGCAGAGCGCTGGTTCTGCATCGTGAGCTTACTTACAATAGCGCTAAACAATGGCCAGACCTGTGCCAGTCCATCTCGTTGAGTGGCCTTCTTTTCCGATTCCCTTCTACTTTACACAAGGAGCTCCAGGGGCTAGTCTCTAAGGAACATTCTGGCTGTACTTCTTCCAGGAGAGAGGTTTTTTTTCTGGCAGTCCGCGGTACTTCCAAAATTCTTCCCCAACACCATAATTCAAATGCTTCAAGCCCTCTGCACTCTTTTCTTCCTTGTCCAACTTTCACATCCACATGCCGCCATTAAAACAAGCAACACCATAGTCTCCGAAGTGACATGTCTGCTCTTCTCGTTTGTGTAGCCGACTTGCCCAATACAATAGACTCTTCTAATAAGCACACAGCCCTGAAGCACATCAATAAAGGTCAGAATTGCAATTTTATAAAGGAATTATCTACTGCTCCATTCAGAAAGATGATTTAATTCCGAGGAAAATGAAGACTGAACTACTGTGAGAACCACGGTGCAGCACAGATCATGAACTAGGTATGGAGAAGCCAACCAAAATGTCTTCATAACGATCAGTTTACATGCTACTTGTGATATATTTCTTGTAACAGACTTGAAAGACTAACAATTCTGTTCTATCCACACAGGGTTAAAAAGTCTACATTTGGGGGGAAAAAATGAATTTACATATAAATTAAACACCTTACTCTTCTACACAGCTACAGGAAAATGTGAAAATTATCAAGTAAATGAAAAATTCTACCTCATTTGGCCAAATTATTTCATTTGGGACCAGATTTCAATATAAGAAGTTTAAGCTCAGTATTATTAAATTACATTGCAGATCATTTAGTCCAATGCCCTGTTTCTAGCGGATACCAGAAATAGTCTACCAGCCACTCTACAAATCTAAAATAGAGTAAGAAGCTGATCTTAATTGGAGGGTCTTTTATTTAGGAAAGGAATAATCTGATTAAGAATATGAACAGAATTACAGTTTAATAATTCCCTATAAAAAATCCAGGCCTCTCCCAACAATTCATCTACAAACAGCCCAGTTTTCTGACATCTTGCAAGTCTTTTCTCTGTAGCCTTGTCTTTTTGGTATCACAGCAACATCCAAAAATACCTCCAATTAATATACAAGGTTGCCACTTGAGTCTTCAAAATAAGATAAAAACAAAGTTGCCATAGAAATACCTTTCACAGAATTTGAACTCAAAATAAGAGGCTTCAGAGAAGGAGGGCCCTAACTGAAGGAAGGGAGGGTAACTGCTGGACGGACACTTACCAGCGGCCCAAGGAGCTACTTGATGCAGACTTCACTGGCACGGTCTCCTGAAGTCTGCCAATATCCTCTCATGCAAACCCCACTCTCAGGTAACAACACAGCTTTGTGTCGCCTGATCTCTGTCCCTAACGTCCGTGAAATCAGTTTGTAGTGTTCCCCATCCTTACCCTAGATGGATTCTCATCATTTGAACTTGGGTTTCTAACAATCAATGATAACTCATGGGACTGGAGAAAGTATGGCTTTGATTTATGAATACTGTGAAAAACAATAAAAAATGAATATGAAGTATCCTCATTTCCCATCTTTGACCTTTGTAATGGCTGGAAGACTACATTTAGCAATCTTCGTAGTGGTAAGAAGCCATTCACACTAATACGAACAGCACAGCGCTGGCAGGGAATGCAACCCCATGAGGCTGGGCTGATCGTCCCCTTTACTAACAGGACACTGGAGAATAGCGTTGAATTGACTTGCCTAAGGTTCCAAGGGTCGTGTTCATAATCATATGTCCTCTATGGGAAATTAATAACATTTTGTAACTTTTCATACTCTTTCCTTAAAATGACAAATCATGAAAAAAAGTTAAATGAGGAACATTTTTACCACAAAAAATGCCAGTATTATGCATATACTTGTCAACAAACATGTTTTTTCCCTAGATTACCTTAAAGTCCCCAGCATGCAGACTACCCCAGTATGCAAACACACATTGAGATATTAATGGGGGACAGGAGGAAGACACCCCCCCACCACTGATAACAAGGTTGGATATATAGCCCCACCCCAGGGGGATGAGTAACAGAAAGGTGGGTGAAGGGAGACAATGGCCAGTATAAGACACAAAATGACAACAATATGTCACTGATCAAGGATTCACGAGGGTGGGGGAGGGAGGGGATAAATGAGGAGCTTATACTAAGGGCTCAAGAAATGGTTTTGGAAATATTGATGGCAACATATGTACAAGTGTGCTTAATACAACTGAATGATGGATTGTTACAAGATTTATATGAGCCCCCAATGATTTTTTTAAAAAAAGAATTGAAATTAGTGTCAAGAAATATATATATATGTTAATGAAGCATGTGCTAGACATAATTTTTGAATTATTTGTAAAACCTGACATTTAAACAAGTTTGAATTTTAATCACCTCAAGAGAAATATACACTAAATACACACATATATATGACATCTAAGTGTCAGCTCATTTTTATCCCTCCAATTCAGTGGCTCTCAACTAGCTGGAATCTTGGCCCCTGGAAGACATTTGGCAAAGTCCAGAGACACCTGCGGTGTTCACCCTGGGAAGTGGTGAACATTCTACAATGCACAATGCACCAGACAGCTCCACCAGAGTTACCTGGCCCCAAATGTCAAGTTAACATTATTCAAGTTCCTAATTACGGAGAAAGATGATCCAAATTTTAACAGAGCTCAGACCTGAAGGGTGCAAAGAAACAAGCTGTTTCCCCAAGCACAATAAACAGCAAGAACCTATTGTCTATCTGTTCCCACTCCTTTGCTGAAGAGCCGCATCAAGAAGGTAGAGTCCACAATTTTAATGTCCTCTGCAGCTCTCCACTTCGTGAAAGTTTCATTTTAGAAGTTAAACAATCTCAGTATTTTTATAAATACTCCCAAGTAAAAGAAAAGAGAAGGCATTATGAAGCAACACAAAACATCACTACCAATCAAATTAACGTCAAATACTGTTATCCTCACTAAATCACCCCCTCAAGAGGTGGAAGTGTCTTGATGGTAGTGAGAAAAGGAGGGAAAAAATGGTGGTCTTGAAGCTCTTGCTTTTTGTAAAGATAACACACTATAAAATAAAGGTTCTAAAAAATACCCACTCCTGTGTGCTATGATCCCCACACCCCCTTTCCACTTCTCTGTTCTTGTCCTCCAGGACCAGCCCGGGGGCTGTTCAAATCCAGCCCACTAACCTCACTCTTTCCCAACTTACACTCTTGAGATGGCAACGAAATGGAACATTCCTTGATGGAAAGGGTTTACACTCAACTATTTCTGTATCTTCAGAATTAACTACCAATAGATGAGTCTGTGGATATAGTTACGAGAACTGATGTTTTCTGGCCCATTATATAACAAGGCTCGATTTAACGCTACCCAGAGGAAGAAGGAAAAAAGGAGTAAGACACTTCACCTCCTCTTCACTTTCCTTATCTTCATCATCTGAAGACTCTTCCTGGTTTTTCTTCTCATCTTCATCACTACTAGATTCATCTGACAAAATCTCGGGACATTTGGTTCGCTTGCCCTTCCTTGCCATTCCGGAACTGCTCCGCTCTTTTTTGCTGCCTTTGCTGGAAGATTTTTTGGACTTGGGCAATGGCTACATTAAAAAAAATAAGCAAAACAACAACAACGAAAAACAGATAACACCAATGAAATATTTTTGTCTCAAAAAAGGTCCGTTGACTAATTTGGCAGATTAACAAAGAATCATTTATAGTTAACTTGTCTGGCTAACCAACACATGTTTTGTACAACCAATAAAACCTTTATAGGAAAAAAACAAATACCTTTTTTATTTCATTCTAAATAGTAAAAGATTCATTACATACATTGAAAAAAACTATGCATTCTGGGTCTGACAGGACTAGAAGGCGATATACAGTGTTAGGCTCAGTTATTTACAGTTTACTGTGACAATATTTTCATTTATTTTCTTCAAGTAAGCACTATAGCCAGGGAGGCAGTGGGGGTCGCATTGTGGGAGGGAGCCTGGGTTTAGATGAATGGTGGTGGGGTGTTTTGGATGAGGAAATAAAAAATGGCAGTTCAACATCAACATGCAATCAGTCACTGAATTACACATGTGCAAGTTGCCGTGCGGGCAGATGCGTTGGTGTGTTTTCACCGTAAGAAATAAGTTACCTTATTTCGAAGGACCTTCTAATCTAAGAGTAAGATGCAACCATCCATGAAAAGAATGAAACCAGATTACTAATTATACATCTTGAATCTGTGAGCCATCTATCCTGAAAGTCAACAGTGTTATTTTGTAACTCCGTCCTCTACTTTCAATATAAATCTCGTAACTGAGCTCTTTGCCACGGAGATTTCAACTCCTAACGATGCTACGGGACAGGATAAAACTGTCCACAAGGTTTCCATGGCTGTATCTTTATGGAAACAGATAGCCACAATTCTCATCCACTGACCTTTCTGGTGGCAGCTGAGCGCTAACCATTGCACCAGCAGAATGCCTTACTTCCGGTGTATCTGCACAACTCTTTCCAATTCAATGAAATTAATTTAAACTTCATGAATGCTGGGTATGGTGATTACAAAAGCTAATTAAGATCCACAAATAATTGCATAGCTATTACTTCGACATTCAATTAAACCATGCATTTTAAAAAGTACAGATCACTTGAGGAAAATGATTTGATTCTAATAACCAACACAATTA